AATTAACTAAAAGGGTACAAATACAAGATGGTTGAGGATTATTTGTAACAATGATTTTCAAAGATATTGGAATAATGGTCTAAGATGAAAGTATGGACCTAGAAACATAATAGGTTAATTTTAAATACAGTGCAAAAGTCTTGAGTCACCCCTCTTTTCTTTATATTTTGCTTCCAAGGAGCCAGACTTTTGTAATTTCAAAAGAGCTATTGAGCAGTAGTTCTCAAGGACATCTTTCAAAAACATATTTTGGACCTTGGCTGCTTTTTCAGTCCAGTCCTTGCACCTGTTCATTTCCAGTGGAACGTTTTCTTTTTCTTTTTTTAATGACCACCACCAATGAACCATTCAAGGGCTGCATTTCAACCAGCAGCGATGGGGATTGTGTCAAAAATGATGGAATTATAAACCAGGAAAAGTCAGATTTTGTTCCAACATGTAATCCTATTTAAAAAGCATATAGAAGAATAAAGGTACATATTACATTTCATCTTTCAGACTTCCTAGAACTGTTTTTTGCCTTATTGTGTTAATAAAAATGTGTTGCACCTTTTTCTAGTTTTCCTAGAAAACCATGAAGAAATGAGGGGTGGCTCGAGACTTCTGCCAAGTATCAGTATCAGCTTTAACGTAGCCTATAGGTTCACATTAGTCCAGTGCTGCAGATGCTTCATTAATGTTTTAAAAGGTAATCTTCTATTTAAAAAAGGAAATGTTGTTACACTATCATTTGATTCCTTTTCCACGCCTCTTGCTGCACATGGGAATATAAGCTTGGAGGTTTGGTAATTAACCTCTATATCTCACAGTATCTCAGTAATTAGTGACACCCTGTTACTGTGAGGGCAGAATCACGGTGGTTCTTTCAGAGGTAATTAATCTCACTGAAATAAAACACGTAGCAGAGCATCACCTGATGTGTATGACGAGCAGCTTCAGGCTCCTCTAATTTTATAAAGTTTATGGTCTAACTGAACACTAGCAGGCACTGATTAGGTTTCAATGGGAAGTGTTGCCTGTCTAAGATCCAGTGTATCATACACCTAGAATCTGTAATCTGCAGAGTTGTGTTGCTTCTGAGGCATACCTCTCTTTATGGATTTAGAAAAATTAATTTTACAAAGTGTTGCATGACCAATCGCTCTGTGGCTCATAGCTGCTTTCGTCTAGTCATAGTCTGTAAATGGGATCTGGCAAAATGCTTTAACACGAGCAGCTTAAATTCAGCCAACGGTAATCAGGCAGTCACCTGATCTTCCCTAACACTGCAAACTTACCTGGTAAGTTATTCTCACAGACGTTAAATCTTGAACAAAAATTATTAAAACTGTGTCCATTGTCTTTCCGTATACACACAAACGCAGTGATTACACACACCTACATTTCTTTCTGTTATTTAAATCTTATTATTTGAACAGTTCTCCCTTAGAAATAAAACAAAAAAACAAAAAAAGTAGGGGGGAAATGTTAAAAAAAAAAAAGCAGACTAAAAAAAATGTTTGATACTTAATAAAACTTTTATTACAATATATGTATCAAGAACAAAATCTGTCAGGTACAAACAGCACAAAGGAATGTCAGGACTCACATCTCGGCTGGTGAGGGGATCGTTGGCTACACTGACCTCATCAGGTCGCCTTTAAACTCTGCGGTCGCTAAAACCACAAAGCGTTCAGCAGTAGGGACAGGTAGAAGTTTCAACTTCTTAAATCTCACTGTACCAATAAACTCGCTCACTGCTCCTGTCACATGACTTCACTTTACACCGAGGACGACACACGTGAAGGACTAAATGCATTTAGTTAGGTGAAAGCACCAAAGAGGCCTCGCGCCTCATTTCTCTGGCGTATGGGGAAGACTATAAAAGGTTATGGATCACAGTTTAATTCATATCAAAAGGAGCTTAACCACACTCGAAGGCAGTTGAACATACTGACACCGATCTGAGAAAAGCACAAATGGATGAAACACTGCCCTAAAATTTATCATAACTTTTTTATGGGTTGAGAATCGCATGCACATGAGCGGGTTAACATCAA